GGGGTCCCCATTTGGGTACTGGGCACGTAACTGCTACTCAGGCAGGAAGAAAACAATGGAAAAAGAGAAATCTCCAACGAGGCGTTCTGGGGCAGCACAGACAGGTCTTTTCTGTGTTAGAGTTTTACTCGCTACAGGGTGTACTTTGAGGGTTTGTGACTCTGCAGACCGTTTACATGCATAAAAACCTTCATAACACACAAGGGGACGGGTAATAACCAGAAAAGCATGACATGGGACCCTTAATACCCAAATGCTCTGTCCTGATGTGTGTCAAACTCCAATCTAAGGAACACTTGGTGTTTAAAGGGTATATCTAAATTAATCATTAAAACTGTAAATGGTTTTCAGTTTTACTTTTGCATTTCTAACCCTTCCCATTCTTCCTCCTCCAGTTAAAGACCCAGAAGGGGTTATGATTCGCTATAACAAGATCCTTACCACCTACCAGCGGGTGAGGAGCATGTCCAGAGCCTTCCAGGTCCACGGAGTGGACAGGAACACCATGGCCTCCACCTCCCCCATCGCAGAGCTGCTGCTGGTGGCTCCAGAGAAGGTCTGATGCCTTTTAATGTTCCTGTTCATGATACTATGTGTATGCACTCACTAGAAACAAAGTCCATCACCTTGTATTATGCTAACAACCTACAATAACAACATAATGTCTACTGTGTAATCCATAGTGTACATTTTATTACATTTCTGTCTGCTTTTGAGGCATTTTAGGAATTTATTAGATAAAAGGGCTGTCATTAACTGAGGTTTTCATCACTTATTTAATTTCTGATAGTTGCTAAAGAAAATTACCCCAATTTATACTCTCAAAAAATACTTTGTTAGACTGTCTGTGATCAAATTAGAAATGGTAAAAATGCAATACAAATATTTGTCAGCATCTTGTGTCCATATTGTCTCAAAGCAACCCAGAATGACTGCAGCAGAATAAGAATAAGAGTTAAACCTGTAGTCAGATTGAAGCGAACTGATTAAAATGTGCGCAAAATAAAGCCACACTTGTGATGTTCCTGCAGGTGGCGGAGGTCGGGGAGTTTGAGGCTTCGAAGGAGAAGCTTTTGGATTACGCACGGCGGTGCTACAAAACCATGGACGAGCAGACGCATGTGAAGGTCCAGGCCATGAAGAAGACCCACAAGCTGCTGCCCATCTCCTACAGGTTCAGAAACTGAGGGACAGGAGGGGGGACGCTGCAGGAGGCAGGGGGGTTCTACACTAAACTTTACATTTAGATTTGTCATTGCCTTAAAAAGATACAAGACATGTGAGAATGTCAAGATAGATGCCAAGGTATAATATTATTTTAGTTAAAAAACCTGCTTGATTGATCGTTTGCCTTAATCCAGGAAGGAAGTGAAGGTGGACATTTACAGGAAGACAAAGTATAGTGTGAATTATCATGTCCTTTTCATTTCCAACCATTATTTGAAATACTGCAAACTGTTTATATATCAGTCATCAGAGTAAAATATTATTTACAGAACCAAATGGATTGTTTATTTAAATGATGGCATTTATCTTTTTGTTTGTATCAAAAGAAATAAACGTGTATTTGCTTTTATTTAATGATTTATTTCTTTGAAAAAATAACAGTACATTTAAAATGTATAATTGTAAAAATAAAATTGGTTTTGTTCATAATTCTCGTGCCTAAGTTGTATATTTTATGATTTTTCCAGAAGGATCTGCTGATGTAGTATTTGTATTTAGAAAGTTTGAAATGTAGTGGAAGTAAATTCATTTAAATATATAATGGTTCTGGTTTATTTCTGTACACTCGGAACACAATTCATGAAGAGTTTAAATTAAAGTATCAGCATTTTTAGAGCAACATTCAAAGGAGAGTATAATAAATGATACCACCATTACTTAACTCTCATTATTTAACACCAACAGTGTATTTATATTTAACATTATAGGCTCTTGTCAATAACATCTTAACATATTGAATATGTATTACTGATCTGAGAAATTAAATGAGACTGGTAGGTTTGGCTTCTTGTTTATAAAAGTAATACTGTAATATGAGTTTTACTATGTAGGCCTACTCTATAGTAACTGGCAGACTGCAGCGCCTTCCAGTGGAAGAAGGGAGTAATGCACAGGGAAAATAAACTTCAACACACTGTATTTCTGTTCATTAATGATTGCAGTCAGAATTACTATTTGTGGTTGCATTTTTTTATAAGCTTCTAAACATTTGTTTTTTTGTTGTTGACAGTATTTACAGCTTAAACTAGTTTGCATGTCCATCCATATTTCAAATACTATATTTTTCCTGCAGTTACTTTGCCACTATACGAGCATCAAACCAGGACCTGGTGTGTTCATTTTTATTTTAGACTGTTCACACATTTATGAAGGTGCAATTATTTTGTAATTGCTTGGACGTGTTAAATCCTTTCAGTTCTCCAGAGGTGCACAAGAGCCTAAGTACATACTTTACGAAGAGAGAGAGAGAGAGTGAATTAGAGAGCTGAAAATAATTGTGGGTTGAGATCTAGCTATAACAAAGCAGCTTGTATCCGTCTGCCTGAAAGTCATCATCAATATGAGGCAACAAATATTTAAATTGAACGCATGTAGCCTTGGTTCAGATGAACAGCTAGGACGTGGTGCAGAACACACCGTGCTTTACCTGCATGAAGTAGCCATGTTGCCCATGTTGTTGGAGTTGAATTTCCTCTTCAACCACCCGGCTGTGGCTCAGTCAGTAGGGGCTTGGACTGTGAGCTGTAGGGTCGCCGGTTCAAGTCCCCGACCAGACCTAAAATATGGAATGTGGACTGCTACTTGGAGAGGTCCCAGTTCACCTCCTGCCCTGCCGTGGTGCCCTTGAGCAAGGCACCGGACACCCCCCTCACTCTCATTGTTCCCCGGGCGCTGTACCATAGCTGCCCACTGCTCCTGGTACTAGGATGGGTTAAATGCAGAGACCAAATGTCACTGTGTGCTGTGTGGTCTGCATGTGTGACCATTAAAGAGGGTTTCATCCCTCCCAATTCTATTCTATTCACATCTGAAGTCTTGCTGCTGAAAATATCTTCTCATGTGATTTTCTGAAGACTGGACACTTGATCTTCAACAGTTCCTCATTGTTTAACACTGTATCAGAGTTTTGCAGACAACCATGGCTCGTGGTCAATGTTGTTCCAAAAAATGTCAATCAAAGTTTAAAAATAAATAAATAGAGGGAAATCCCAATCTCTGCAAATAAGTAAACACTTGAAGACATTTAGAATCAAAGGATCAGACAAAAACCATTATAGTAATTATGAATATTAGATGATACCAATTTAAAAAAAAGTATAGGTCAATAAAAAACACATAATGTGTTTTTATTGGCTTCTTTTTCATAAGGCTACATATTGCAGTGCCACTTTCAAAATGCAATTATTTGTAGAAATGAGCAAAACTTGGTTTTGAGTCAGTCCATTTTCCAATAAATAAAATTGTCTTTTTAAAAGACTATAAATAATATTAAAAATAATAATATATTATTTTCTTTTTATCACATCACCTTAAACACCTAAGGCAATGTATTTATCCTTGAAATTGAATAGTTTGACCCGTTTTCCTTCTTAATAAAGTTGATCATGGTATACATTCAATGATCGAAGAAATAACAATAATCTAGTTATAACAATAACAGTTAACAAACGCTTTATAAAATCTCCAAATAGATACAAATATAGTCTAATACAGATTCATTGTAATCAATCATATCCATTATTTGTCTTTTCTATTTTTTTTATTATTTGTTTCCTTGCATAAATCGAGATTGTTGATGAACAAAACGATGTAATCCATATTTCACCATGTGTTATTCAGCTGCTCAGAAAAGGCGGAGATGACCTCAATTTCCCAGCGTACTATGCGGCCGACAGAGGGAAATGGATGGGTGCGTAAACCAAAGTTACCCTTTAACCTTTCCAAACAGTCCAATCAGAGCGAGAGTTATCCAGGAAGTAGTCCACTATCTTTTGACTGACAATGAGCGTTGACGAATAAGAGTACGTAAACGGCTTCAGCGGACCAATCACAGATGAGGTAGGCGGTGCTCCTATCCAACAGGGCATCGGAGGAGGAGGTGTTCCTGGTAGCCATCTTGGATGTGCGGAGTGATTGTTTAGCGAGAAGATTTTTTTTTTATTTAGAAAAATAGCCTTTGTACTGAAACGTGGTAGATTTAACGGAGTTGGAAAACCGAGGAAAGAAATCCTAACTCGGGAAAATCCAGGTAAATTCGTCTCAGACTCAAAGATGATGCATTTATGTGCCTCCCCCCTCCCTTCTCTCTTTGCCTCTCTCCCCTCTCCAAATTGTGTCTCCCACATCAGAAAGCTGCAGCCGGTTGGAAGCTGCAGCTCTTCATACTGACAACACATCACCAACTTGTGTGTTTGCGGTTATAAAAACAGAAAAAGCACAACTTCCTCTGCTGAGCCGCGGTGTGTAAACTTTAGTTTGTTTCCAAGTGTGTGTGCTTGGATGTTGGAGCCAACACAGGCTGCTGGTGTCACTAATGATGCCCGCATTGTTTATAAACCGCCCGGGCTAACAAATGTTTGTCCCTCGGTCCGAGAACATGGCTCGGTTGTTCGGCTAGCTAGCACGGACACCAATTTTGTTTTAAGATTTGTCTAAAAAATGCCCATACCCTAAAACTGCCCTCAGATGATTTCAAACTAAATTGGCAAGTATGAGCGTGTGTTAGCAGGATGTAGGGCCTGTGTCCAGATGTGTGCACCTGTTTGGAAAAGTAATGCTAAAGCTAATTTATACTTTATTGGTGTCTGTTGGAGTCACAATAATACAACTATAATTATGTTACTGAACTAGCACATGCAATTTAGCCCTGTGTAAAACAACTACACATTTTATAGTCCATTTCAAATGTAAATTATATTTTTACTTGCCCTTTGTGTCTTCAGGTTTTTTTTTTTTATCATTGATACATTTACCGAGTATTTTCTAGATTAATCGATCACTCGTTTGGTCTAAACATGCCCATCTAAATCCAAGGTGAAGTACTAGTTTTGTTAGTCCAGTAAAATTAGGTTTAACATTATATAAACCCGAGAAAAGAACAACATCTCTATGTTAAAATGGTAAGGAAAACAGCAATTTCTGTTATATTTGCAGTAAAAACAATATTATGGTTTAAATAAGCATTTTAATTCTGACCTGGCTTTGAAATCAAAAATGTAAAGTAAGAAATTCATAGTGAGATACATTTCCTTATTATATATTGCAGTATTATTGATATACATCATTTGATGTCATTATCACATAGGGGTGAATTATATGATTTTTGTTCCTATGTATATATGGACATTTTGGGCACCTTTTTTCAGCTTTCGAGGAGTGACATGATTTAAAATAGCATAAACAAAAGTTCAAGGTCAGACTTGAACCAGGGACATGCTCAGGATACCTTAAAATGATCAAAATAATTGTGTAAGCTTACATATGATATCTATTCTACTCATGGCGATACATACGAGACCATGCAAGGACTACTGAGAACAGAGAAAATATAATGAATTGTTGCAAGGTTTTTTTAGTCTTAAAACATACTGCCTTTCTGTCTTGTTAATGCAACCACATTGAAAAATGATATTAAACTAAAGCATAACCCCTTCAAGAACCCTTAAGAGTACCCAGGCCACATGTCTGCCTGCATGTAGGAGTAGCTACTTATTATTCTGTTGCACAATGAACTGAAGCTATTAAGACTTAAATGGTTGAATTAAAGTTAAATGAAGACTGATTCCATGTGAAGAGAGACTTTAAGCTTCACTTGTGAATTTATCAAGTACAGTCTGAAAACCTGCTGACTCCCAACTATATAATGAAGAAAGTATTTCTATGTAATGTACTCTGTCCTACATTTCCTACATACAATTGTATTTATTGGTCTGGCCCATGTCCATCCCTTCAAATCTGCTGTGAAAATGTATTTGTTCATAACAACTTTGCAGCCAAGTGATGCATTCAATGCAACAAGTTCCAACTGTTTTCTGGTGTTGTCTAAAAACATTTAAGTAAAAAGCAGAACGTCACAATGTATCCAAACGACTATGAAAGTGTCCCAGGTAGGATGGTTCATTCAGTTACAGGTAATTCCTCTTGGGTTGTTTTGGAGTATAAAGGTCAATGTTGGTGTCAGAGCGGCACCTCCATCATCTGGGATTCAGTGCGTTGCCCAAAGACACTTCAGTGCAGCTAACTCTAAAAGATATCCCTTTGTGTCTCCCACTTCTCATCTCTACCTAATCTCTGTCTGTCATTGTAAAGGTTTCCTTGGTGCATATCATTTCATATTCTTGATGTTAATGATCAAAGGTTTAATGAAAACAATAAATACATACATTAACCATTTTTCCTCTGTTTTCTGCAGTAAAAGAAGGCATGAAGACATCATCCTAGTCATCAGTCATGGCCGATAAAAGGAAACTACAAGGTAAGGGTTCCATCCCATCAAACGACTCAACTGATGACAACTAGGAATTGTTGTGTTCTGATTACGTCTCAGGCTGGTTTATCACAAAGGAAACCGTTTACCGTCACAGTGATGGAAAAAGAATTGAACTACAAAATAATAACAGCGTCTGTGATCGGAGAGTCCCCTTATGGCATCTTATGTAAGGGGTAATGTACAGCCTGGATGATTTGAAAAAACCGCTGATAGGGAGACCGGTATCCCAACCACTTATTACACGGCTACCTGCTAAACAAATCAACCACTTGACCCACTATATATACATTTGAAATGATTTTATTGTTTAAAAAACCCTGCAAACGCAACACTGTTGGTTGTACTTCGTAGCAACGGTAAGAACTGAGCAACAGGAGCATCTAAACCGCAGCAGTACTGATCCAGGTTTTCTGCCCACTAACTGTCCAAGACTGTTCACATTTATCTTCCATTACCATTACCAGTCGCTTAACAATGTAATGCTGTGTTCACACCGGACGCGATGCGAATATTCGCTTCGCATTCCAATCGCTCAAGTTTCACCGCGACTTGCAGTTTGTTTTATCGCGTCATTCAAAACAAACATACCGTCGACAGCCACAACGATTATCTCTTCCATCTTTACAACTGATCAACAGCAGCAAGACAGAGGGACGTCAGAGGGAATCCTGATTAGCTTCCGCGAGAACGCGTCACGTGAATTTGACGCTCGAGTTGAAAAAATTGACCTCTCGCGTTAGACGCGGCACCGTTCAATCGCGTGATTCGCGCCGCGTCCACCGCTTCATGCTCGCCGTCGGAGCGAATTCGTGGCTGTCCGCGTCTCTGCATTGACTTTACATGTAATCGCGTCGCCCCCAAACATCGCATCGCGTCCGGTGTGAACGCAGCATAAGAGCCCTTACCTTGTTCCATTTAGTGCTCACTTCCTGTCTTTTTTCTTCTGCAGATTTCTCTCCCCTCCAGCTCTGTGTATTTAACCTCTCTACTTCTCTTGGGGACAGTTCAGCATCACAAAGTGACATTTGTGTGCTCTCTACAATCCTAAACAGACTTATTTCTGCCGGTTCATATGCCTGCACATGGTCCCGTGATCAAAGCGTCCTTAGCAACGGTCTGCTATCGAAAAGAGCAGACCACTGAATGTCCAAATGACCCAATCAGAATCAAGTACTCAACTAAGCCTTGTAATAGAGGAAGGTTACAAAAACAAAAGAGTGTAATCCGCTCATTTGATCACACCTGATGCGGCTTCGTATTGCATGTTGTGTGATGTGACCTCAGGAAGAAAAGTCTACTTTTATTTTCACACTGCTAGGTTGCATGGCTTATAGACAAAAGTCAAAAGCACCAACACTTACTTGTTTTACTGAGTCGTGTTATCCTGCCAGGTCGTTGGCTCCAGAGAGTCAGAAATACATCTGCTGAAGCTTAAACATGATGGCTTTAGAAGAGCTCCTTGCTACCCTTTAACCTTTTCAAATAAGAGCAAATGAAGAAAAAATGGAATAAGGGCTTCATAATTCATTAGCAATTGGGATATGATTTGCAGTTTAAGACGGAATGGTCATTTTTGGACAATCATTCACTTACACATATCATTGAAAACATATTCAAAAAACATGGTGTGATCTTTAAAATCTAAAAATACTCTCTTTTTTTTATTAGGATCTGTACCAAACAACCTAAAAAAAAGAATGCATGGATTTCCAGTTAAACATTTTAGGGTTATTTTCAGCAGATGAATTGGGTTGTATTCACTTACCCATTAAATGCACCTCGTTATCCTGGAAGGGGACTCAAACGTGTTAGCGTAGCAGTGGAGCTGACTCACGTGCAACAGTTCACAGGACTCGGATGATAACGCACCCTTAGCTTGACTTTCTCACAACAAGCTACATAACCTGACCCACAGCTTTGTGTAAAGACCTCCAGGCTCTGCTGTCAGACACTTTTTCTTAATTTTGATATTATTTTTAACGGACGTTTGTCGCTCCAGGCTGAAAAGCTACTTTTTTGACAGGCCTTATCCCTCCACTGCCAGCGTCACTCATCCCTTCACGTGAGATCCTGTGATGCTCCAACTGTCATGATAAAAGCACAACATGTACCTCTATTAAATCATGGAGAAAGATGATCAAGCACCAACTACGCTCTGTCAAAATGTAATGTATTATTACAGAGGAGGTAGACCTTTATCTAAAAATAACTCACCCTCAGCAGAGTCTTAACATCACGGCTGTTTAAGGGCAAACTCGAGATTGTTTGCTCAACTAAGTCTGTTCTTCACTAGCCCAGCAGCTGCATTCAAGTCACGCCAATTGATCAAATAACAATCAGAACAACACAAATACAATAGCAGCAGTATTGACAGGCTACATCTATGGTGTTATGAGTTGGTACGTTTGTCAGGGTCTTGAAAAAGGAACTTATTATCAAACTTGGTTTTAACAACAATATTACATTGCATTTAGCTGACGCTTTTATCCAAAGCAACTTACAATAAGTGCGTTCGACCAAGAAGATACAACCTTGAAGAAAACAGAATCATATAAGTACATCAGGTTTCATAGAGCCAAACATTTCAAGTGCTACTCAACTGGCTTTAGATAAGCCAGTCCTTTGTTAGTATATAAGTGCTCTGTTAGTAATTCTATCGCTCGAAGTGGAGTCGAAAGAGATGAGTTTTCAGTCTGCGCCGGAAGATGTGTAAGCTTTCTGCTGTCCTGATGTCAATGGGGAGCTCATTCCACCATTTTGGAGCCAGGATAGCAAACCCACGTGTTTTTTGCTGATGGGAACACACGTCGGTTTGCTATCCTTATTATTATACACAGATTTATGATGACAGAAATTCCTAATTTTAATCGGTCAGATTTCCATCACAAAACGTGATCACCATCACATAATGCACCCTCTTACTGTGAAGCCAGAAGACAATATTTCTGTTAGTCAAAACCTGTAGAATGACTCGCCATCAGTTGTTAGCAGAGGGAGGTCGTATTAGCATTAATTAGGTGCTCAAGATGTACAGAAAATGTATTGGGTGAAGGTATTGTGATGTAATCAAGGTTTGTTCAAATGTATCCTTGTATGAATCTCATGTTTTAAGGAGATATTTTCGCAACAATATATAATCGATACTAGAGACGTAACGATGACCTGTTTGACTGCCTAAGAGCAAAACAGTATGCACATGGTTATTAAGGCGTGGATGTTGAAGTAAATATAAATAATTTTTCTGTTTTTGGGTTATAGCATGGTTTGGATTCTGGTACCGAGCTTCTCTTTACATTTGAGTTTTCTGGACATCCTACTTCATTGGGGGCAAATTCAACATTTCGGGACTAACTTGGCATTTCAATTATTGAAACTAAAATGACAAACATCTCGATGTAATGCAAACCGCATCCTCCATGATGATGCTACAGTTGAATCCCCCCCTCTCTGAAACAAACTCCACATTAAAACCGTCATGAAGGATTTATGGCAGGGCTGCTGTATTAGACTGCACTAGTTTGAGCCTGCTAATAAAGCGGGTTCTACCGAGTGTGCACAGGAGATGTGTTTGTGTGTTCCCTCTCGCTTACAAGCATGATGTTCCTTTTAAGATATGCATGTTTCATGAGGATGTCAAACACAATTTGTAAATGCTCTGCTAATGTGGAGAGTTTGTTGTTTGTGTATGGGTTATATAAAACAGGGGTTGCCTGGTTCGGAAATATTTCCCTAGATTACTTTACCATAAAAATGTAATTACTTACTAAATGTAATTTAGTTTGAATACCTCCTTGCCAATAAGGGGTTGCTTTGGGTTGTCCATAGAGATGTCCCGATCCGATCACGTGATCGGGGATCGGAGCCGATCACGTGATTTTCAAAAGATCGGAATCGGGAGAAATAAATCGGGGATCGGGATTTTTCTTCTTTTTTTTTTTTTGAAATACTTTTTTTTTTTTTATTCAATGTTACAAAACGAAAATGACCATGTTCAAGTCTTAAAGTCATCCTGAGGCCTTAGTTTTGGTTTCAAATTACACAACATCATGTATGTGTTGCTTCTTTGGGGCTTGTTTTCATAGACCTGGTTGCTTATTTCTCTCAAATCTGGCAACAGAGTGGGCAGGGCGCAGTGTCTAATTGTAGCAGTAAGCTAACGAGTACTGATAAGCTTTATTTTGTTTGGATCCAATGCTGCACAACTGAACTGATCCAATGCTGCTGTGAAAGAAAGAAGCTATATCCATGTTGGATAGAATATCCAATTTAAATAAAAAAATAACCTTAAGGGACAACTTGAATGCTTTTTTTTCTCTTAATGCATTGCATAAAGATCGGATCGGGAAAAATCGGTATCGGCAAATTGTCAAAATCAAATGATCGGAATCGGATCGGGAGCAAAAAAAGGTGATCGGGACATCCCTAGTTGTCCATCCCAACTAGATGTAACATTCTCTTGAACTTGATTTCCCAGAAAGGTTATATTGAGATTTCTTCTAATTTGGCACAAACGTCCATTTGGAATCAAGGATAAACCAAATGGGTTTTCATGGGCATAGGTAAGAGGTCAAGGTCGCTGTGACCTTAGGTCTGGCCAATTTTTCTGACCGTGATTTCTCAGGAGCGACTAGCACACATTTCTTCTAATTTGGCGAACATCCTTGGACTCTAGGATTAGATTTGAGTGTACAAACGTCACTGTATGTTTTTGCCATAACATAAAAATGCATGGGCTAATTATGATCATTTGTACATCATCAAATCGGCTTCTTCTTGAGACTAGCTGTGTGTTTGAAGTTTCTATATTCACTCTCTATTCCCTTCTGTTATTCTGCTCTTCTCTTCTCTTCTCCTGCAGGTGAAATAGATCGATGTCTGAAAAAAGTAGCGGAAGGAGTCGAACAGTTTGAAGACATTTGGCAAAAGGTAAGGAAGCATCATTCTTCAGACTTAAAAATTGATTCATATATTTTCTATTGATTGTTAAGATTGTAAGAAAAAATATTTTTTTGAATAATGAAAATTGAGCAGAATTATTTCCCATTGCTCGTCAAAAATGTCTGAAAAATATCTGGAACCGGAAGTCTTTAAAATATAAGATAATCGTGGGAAATGTTTTAAAGACTTGGTTAACCAGCATGATTCCACATTGGAGAAGCTGGAGCCAGAGAATATTGGCATAATGATTGATTAACAAAACTGTTATTGATTAAATGTGTGCCAATCAACAACATTTTTGAACCCTTATTGTCTGTATGTTTGTTAAGCTCAGGGAATACAACCCTTGTCATTTCATCTGTGGATTGTACATTTATTTCATTTATTAAGGGCAAGATTTGGAGAAGTGAAGGACATCTATCCAAAGTAAATGTTTTTTTTGAAAATAAAAAAATGTCAGTGTTTTTGAAATTGTTTGTTTTTGCTGCATTAATTGACTCTATTTCCTCATCTACTTCTGAGTTTAATTTCTCTCACCATTGTTGTTGGCCAAGACCAAGGCTGCTACAGTCATAGTAGTTAAAATAATCCTACCACCACCACACCAGGGTGCACATTTCTCCTGATACTGACTATAATCTGAGCTGTTATTAAAGCAGCAGCACAGAGGCACACACTGTAAATCTGCTCTGCTAATGAACAGGCACAATGTGTTGGTGTGTTATATCCCAGTTGCCCTTTTTCCTTCATTATATCCTGTATTTATTGTGCAGCTGTGTTTGTATTTTGCAATTTTTCGCTAATCACTACAAAGCTAATTGAGTCATAGCGGCTTGTCTTACCCCCAATGTTGTATTTTTATGACTTGTATTGATTTAATAGCTTATTTTATTATACAATTGGTGTGATGTTTATCTTTTTTCTTTAATTAATAGTCACTGTTGCAACCAAGTTAATTTCCCTGCACAGATCAATAGAGTTATGATGACATTAATTGATAGCACAAAGCTAAAGTAAACAACAGAATTGAAAAGTACTTGATTGGCAGACTGATTAGAGTTGTGTCATTATTAATATTTACAGAATATATGAATAAACAAGGACAATAATTGTTTTGTTTATGCACGAGTACTTGTCTGACCCTCCGGTTTGTTTTCCTCCTCAGCTTCACAATGCAGCGAACGCAAATCAGAAGGAGAAATATGAAGCAGACCTCAAGAAAGAGATTAAAAAGCTACAGGTAAAGGCAGAGAGAAAAACACTTCTTCTCCCACAAAATGACCCGTTTCATTTCCTTTTCTTCTGCATGGCTCCACGGTGAATGAAGAATGAAAAAAAGAGAAAGGTCTTGGTGAATTCAAGTAAATTGAGCTACGTTTAACAAAAGCAAAACAATATCGAAACATTTCCAAGCAAACTCGCACAGCTCATGCAGAATATTCCACGTCTCACGTGTATTTTGGACTCATCCAGGTGAGAAGCCCGCCTTTTACCACTGGATTACTGAGACTTCTTTTGAGTTGTCATTTTGATGCGGTATCCATTTATTGAAATCATCAAGACCTTTCTCTATTTATGATTCTTCATTCACCCTTTAAGAAAACATGCCATACAGAAATTGAGATTAAACAACGTGACCATTTTGTGGGTTAAGAATACCATTAAACCAATTACCAAAATAGATGATTTAATTTCCTTTTTATCCAATACTCACTTTATATTTTCCACCATTTTCATTGGATATTCAGATAAAGATAACACCAGGTTTATTTCAGCCAGAATGAGCAGGTTGAGGTCTGGTGTGTGTCCAGCGTTCACCATGGAATTGGAAAAGAATCTAATTTGTTTGCTGATATCGATTTTTTGACCTGCCCCCACATCGAGGTGTGTGTGCGTGCTGCTAGAGTCAAGGATTAAATATCATCATGGTCAGCCAGAGGGTTACCATGAGGACCAAACTCCAAGCCAAGCATTTTGGCAGCGTGTAGACACCAAGTTCACCGTCCGTGACTGCTGGGGACGAGTCTCTGCATGTATTCACTCGTGTACCTGTCTCTCTCTCCGTCTCCCCCCCTGCTGTGTTCCTCTCCCTCTTCTCCTTCTTCTTCTGCTCCCCTAGCGTCTTCGAGACCAGATCAAGACGTGGGTGGCTTCCAACGAGATCAAAGACAAAAGACAGCTAGTAGAGAACCGCAAACTCATAGAAACGGTGAGTCGGACACTATATGTTCATTATCACACTCCCTGCAGGAGACATGGAGACTCTGAACTAAAAGAAAACTGTTTGACATTCTCCAGGTCATATAAACGATTAGGAATGACTGATTTACTTTCTAGGACAATTACAAGAACTCTTTCATTGATCAGCCTTTTGTTTACCAGTTTACCAAAATATATTAGCCAATATAATATGGTGTGTTATACAGGTAACGGAAATGTTTATTTTATTGTAAAATTCATCAACCAAAAATGTTATTTTTGAAGTTTTAAAGCTCAGTCTGGACCTTGGAAACAGCAAAGTTATTCCAGTTTCACTGCGATGTTTTACCTGTGCAGTATGTTGACCTGATCTCCATATCTGTTTACTTTGGTATATGAATGCAGAATGTTGGTACATTTTAGTATCAGAAAGGTTTGGTTTCCATTTGAGGTCCTTTTAGTTTGAGTGGGCTCTGTCTGAATGCTTTTTTCCACCTGGAAAAGAAGCCAGACACATTTGCCAAAATGCAATCTATGAACTCATTGGTTATCATCGAATGACAATTTGCCTCTTTTTGTAGTTACATGTATCTGCATTCATATGCAGATACAGGGTTTTGTCTAAACCAAGGTAACGGGCGCTTCACCTTCTTACTTTCGGTGTGAGCCCTCAAACCAAAGTGCAGATTTTCGCCGTGACATTTTAAAATTATGCCAGAAAACAATATTTCTGTTCGCAAAAAACATTAAAATTACCCTCAGACGACATAACAATGACACTTTGTGTTTTCAGTTTTTTGTGAAGAATAGAGTGGTGCAGTGACGAGTCCTAAAACCCGGAAGTGAGTTAGCATTTTACCACTACGTGTTGTTCCCTCGTCTCAGAGTCAATGGGATTTCTCCATAGGATTTTGGAAAATAGCTGGAAATAAGGTCTGTGGTTGAGACACATTTAAGAGACGGATCCTATTTTGTTCTACGACATTAAATCCATCAGCAGTGACCCCACTGGTGATTTATGAA